AGCCTCAAGAGTTCTTCCTTTACCTTCTTGGTTGTATATACTGTGTAAAATATTGAAAACCCAGAACTTAAGATTACCAAGGCATCCCCTGGTCTATGGATTACTTGGATCGTTGCAATAACCTCGAATATTCTCTGAATATTAAGATTAGAGTGAAGAATAGTAATTCTCTGTGAGGAATAACTACAAAATTATCTTTACTCTTTGACTCTGCTCTCAGTAAAGTGTTGTTTATCTCCTTTTCTAAAATCATCCTATGTAAGTGATTTTTATCTTCACAAATTACCTTCGGCGACCTTACATAGACAGAGACATGTCAGACATGAATAGTTGGCTTTGAGCCTTGTCTCAGGGAGTTATTAATTATAAGTTTCATTTTGTTAATCCATCATTAGGGGAAAGCTAATCCATTAGCTGATCACCTCCAATCCCCTAAGATGAGAAAACATTACAATGCTACATTGTGTGCAAATAATGCGACTATATATCTATATACTTTATATTGTAGGACCAACAACGAAAGTAATCCATTCCATTGATTTCATCAGATGAAGAGTGTTCACCATCATTACCTTGCCATGTGAGAAAAATTCAGTACGAGGCATCCGAACGTGCTAGATTACGGGCAGATTGGCAAACGACATTTCTCTTCGTTTTTCCTTTTATCCGTAGCTCAAGGATCGTCGACAAATAGAGCGGGTCGCGACCGGTGACTGCGGGAATTTATCTTCGTCCGTCCGGCAGACAACGGAGGGGAGAAGGGCTTCTCGAGGGAAGTAAACAGCACTAAGAGCAGCTAGCGTTTTCCCTTCCGCTGCACTCGGGCGCAGAAATACTGAGAAATAGATAACCGTTGTTGCCGTGTTTGTTCAGAACTCGCGAAATGAACAGATTTGATTGCGTTTGTAGAAAGATTTAAGTTTGTGTAACAAGATTATTGTTCAATTAAGAAACGAAACGAACGCGATTGCTTGAAAGACGTATTTATTCACTAACGTTTGTTAAAAATATAGTTTTATAACAATGTTGTAACTATTTAGATAATAGTTCAGAAAAATCAGTACTTTTCGATGGGCATTATCAATATTTCTGTGTGAAAATATTAGAAATTATTAGTAACATTCCCGAAGAGCAAAATAGTCAACCGAGAGAAAATAAGAAGAGTTTTAGGAAGTGAAGGAATGAGAAGTCGAGTACAAGATAATGAATCATCATTGGTACAATATTAATAGTTATAATTTATTACACATTCTAGAAAAGTTCATTATATTATGTTCATGGAAAAATTTAATCCATTTTAATCAAACGTCACATTATTATATAAAATGTCATTATGTCATTATTATGACACTAACGCGGCAATGTTTATCACTGTCATATTGTTTATGAGCTGCCCCTTTTAGAATTTTAAGTCGTGGTTGAATTGTAGGTATCACACGCTTAGTAAGTAGTTCGTTTAGGAGTATGCATTACTAACAGACTTAATAGGAGTTCTTTTAATAATAACAATTATAAAAACTGTTTTAAAACGAGCTTTAAAAGAGTGTAATTACTTAAAATTGTTTTTTAGGTAACGCAGAGTTGCAGCTCCCAAACGATAAGTCGTCGGCCCTCCTACGGAGGACAAGGTCGTCACTTGTAATAATCTAAAACTATCTCGGTCTAACGTACGCGTTTAGCAATTTTTTCCATCTTATGTAGTATGTTCTTCAATACTAATTTACCAGTACATTTAATTTTTAAAGAGATTTGAATAATAATTTACCTTCAGTTTTATATTTATAGTCATCTTCTGCATGTTGTACATATATGGTAAATAATAAGTAAATAATTATTATTAAATAAATAAAAGTGCTTAATAAGAAAACCATTAATTTCATACGTGAAGATTGCATGTTCCACATCGTTTAGTATTCTGTACTCTTATGCTCTGAATAAACATTTGTAAGTAAACTGTATTTGTGTGAATACATGTATTCAGAATTCAACTTGTATATGGCATACGGTAAGGTTTCCAGAATTAGAACAATGTGCACAGTCTACATTTTCCCCGTAGCACGTCACGCATGTCGTTTTTTACTGTCTTTGACGCAGAATTAATTAAGAAATAAACAAGTGAATGAATGAACGAATAAAATAAACACTAAAATGTTAACTGAGTAACTTGAGACGCAGCACATTTCCTTCGGACTGCTCAGAACAGAATACATAATGCAAACTCAAATGTTGTCAGTAATTACATGAGTTTTTAATTATTGACTTAGAAAAATTATCGAAACCCCCCACAAAATGACGTAATCGATTTTCATCATTGTGCCCTCTAAATTAATTCTATATGGCTTAAAAAAATAAAGCTACACAAAATGGAAAAGCCGAAAAGAAAGAAAGAAAAAAAACACGTCCCAAATCTCCGAAGGTCAGTCGATCTTTATTCTCTGAGCGTTCGGGGCGGTGACTTCCCACCTCGAAGCGCCTCGCGGCGGCTCACCGCGGTCACTATAATCTGTGTACCAGCGGAGTGGACAGCATCGGGTTATACGGATGGAGGCTGGGGGCGTGCATTCCCGAGGGGGTGGCCGCTGAAATTGTATTGGGGTAACACGTTTCTCCTTGGCGAAGCGCCGCCGCCCGTGCAGCCGACCGCCGGGGGCGGCGGGGGCGGCGACGGTGGGTTCGTTCGCCCACGCGTCGTGACGCACTGTGGGCCCGAATTCCGGCCTAGTAGACTATAAACACGATAGTATAGAATTTAATTTTCAAGAAGAGGAAAGACAAAAACAAAAGAACTAGAGGTACTACAACAGCACATACTTTCTGACACTATTTCTAACTTAAGTCATGTTAAATAATTCAGCAAGATTAACGAGAATGAGACCTTCACAGTTATTTTAAGCGATCTTTACACTATCTGGGGAAAACGAAGAAATTGGAGACATATTTGAAAAAAAATTAAATTACATTAACTGCAAGCAAAAATTTGGAGAAAACTTATTTTTTTAAAAAAAAATGTACGTATATTAATATAAATATCTAATTTTTTAGAATAAATTTCATTTTTCAAAAATCACTATCATCAAATTTTTACTTTTGCAATGCTTTTTGTGTTAAAATTTTCGAAAATGCTAAGCAAAACTGGGACCATCACCAATTTCATACCGTCTTTTACTATATACGAGGGGGGGAAATAAAGACAAAAAAATAAAGGAAAAAAAACAAGACAATACTAACCACAGGAATTCCATTTTTTATAATAATAATAATAATAATAATAATAGTCTTTATTAATAGTTTTTGCAAGTCGTGGATTTGAAAAACGTAACACAATTCTGGGAAAATTTGTACTGCGCATGCGCCGGCATCAACTGACGGGATTCTCCCTATTTGTCATCTATTATAAATGTCTACAACAAACTTACACTTAACGTGCCAGGGATTCGTGTTCCACCACTATACACGAAATCAACACTAGCACACAATGAGCATGGAAGAAATGACAAATGCAATATCCATAGTACCAATATTACATGGAAAGATCTTAATCGTTAATATTTCTCCAGTTACCTCAAATATGTCAGGAATAAACTAACGTAATTGTTTAGGATTTGAAGTTATGTATAGGAGGCTATATTGAGTTTCACGAAAAAATAATTATTTATTCACATGGCGTTAAAGTTGTCTTACATTTCCCATTCCTAATAAAAAAACAATATAAATATGTATAGTAAAATTGCAGGGTTACATTGGAAGACTATCTACGAAGATATAGTTATCTTTAGAGGTAAAGACGTGTATTACATATTCGAATGATACAATCAGATTTCATGTATTTTTTGTATATATGTTTTACTGTCATCTAATGCTTATAAAAGCAAAAGAGACTCAGAGGTACACAAATGTTCAATAAAAGCTTTTAGATCGTGTTAGTGATATATTCAGATCCAATTAGTTCCTAGTTTTAACACACGCTTTGATTGTACGACTTGCAAAAACTAATTTTTCTTAAGATACATTATTTGTTTTGACGATAATGTTTACGTACTACGACAATGGATTTTCCGTCTGGCTGAGACTCTGTAATGACGAGGCTCAGGCTATAGGGCCTGCTTGTCCGCCTAACCATTACGGATGTTACGGATCATATGGTACAATGGCGCGGTACAATGTTGCGGATCAAAATCGGAAATCAATCAAAAGTTTTGACCAATTAATAAAGGTTAATTCACGAAGTGTTTCTGGCCGCGGTGAAGTGACCGCTAACAGAGGGGATATTTACACACATCTCATGGAATGATAAATCGCTCTCAGGGGAAATTGGCCATATTTATCTCTGCTTAACCGAGGAAGACGTTTCAGCTCTTTTCACTTCAGGTAAAATTCGAAATTCGACTTAGCTTGTCGTCGAATTGAAAAGGTTCAGCCGACTCAGTGACAGCCGTTGCTACTGCAGCGTTTCTGACCGGGGTGAGCTAGGGTTCGAGTCCCGGCGGTGGTTAATTTTAGACACTATCTAGAGAGATAGGTCGAATTCAGCCGCTGCTTACCTCTCCCCCATCCCCTTACACTTACATACGCTTACACTACCGCACATTTCTGGAGACCAAACAGGCGCTTAGGGCTGGTCCCAGCTGAGACTGTCTCAATGGAAGCAGATACCTGGCGACGGGAAACTCTGCAAGTCGCTCTACAAGAAATTCTACAATGTGTAGGTCGGCAACAAAGACATTGGGTAGTACTACTCGTACCAGGTCTGATTCTGATATTGGATTTGCATAATCGACACCGGGTTTCACGATTCATCGTGGGAAGAACATTGCCACCCACCTCCAGTCGAATCATTCGTGGGACTCATGACCAAAATATACTTGACGCGCCATCCCCGACATACGATACTCAGTCATTCAACAGCTTACAGTTCCTGAAAAAGTATTTCGTGTGTAAATCGAGTGTGTGGTCGGAGGCTTTCTGATTGGATATAAAATACGTTCGTATTTTGTAAACAGGTCAACCTTCTGCATCGATTCCGAATTGGGCTGCGATGTGCGGCATTGATGTTCCGTTCGCTACTACGCGTTTCGGCCCATTGCGCACCGGGGACGGCGGCGGGAGAGCGGGTGGTCGAGAGGAGCGCCGGCCGGGCGGCGTCCCCGTTGCCTAGCGACGCGAGCCCCGGCGCTGGCGGCGACGGCGGCCTCCGCCCCTCCCCGCAGCCAGCTCGACGGCCAGCGTTCGTTCTCCTCGCCGGAGGCAGCGGCGGCGGTGGCGGCGCTGGAGGCGGCGGCGGCGAGCTCAAATTAGGAGAGGTAGGGGCTGCGGCGGAGCGATGCCTGCGGCGCGGGCACCTTCGTGTAGGGCTGGGAGGTCCCCGAGTGTTGGGGGTATTTGGGAATGTGGCGTCATTTGGGAATGTTGCGTCATTTTTAGTGTTTACGCAGTCGATATTTCTAAACGTTTGATAGTGATACTTTTAATTCTTCTAATGCTTACACCATCGACAATTTTGTTTCCCACATACAAATAAAATAGTGACTGTTCTGCAGAATCAAAACGATAATTGCCGTATCGGTATTCACAAACAAGACGATTCAATGGTCGTAAGGTAATAATTAGTTAAGGTAAGGTCGTTGGATGCAATTAGTTAAGGTCTTACCAAATTATATCTTGTGACGACATAATTGATATGGGCCTCTTAAATAATTACACAACAGCGTCTTCGCATTTTCTTTCTTTTGTTTTTGACACTATTCGACAATTCCAGAAATACGGACATTAAGAACTTAAGTAATTCATATCTCATATTTGAAAGTGTAAATTAAATGTAAAGAAAACAAATACGAATTAGAAGTATGTACAATTTATTAAATAGTATGTTTTTAAAGAGACTTTTAATGGGAAGTATGTGGAATTAAATTACGTATTATAAACCGCATTCTATCGACACTATCCGACGCTACAGGCTCAATGGCGGTGATTATTTTGTAAAATGTGAGAAATGCTCCTTTCTGATGTTAGAATCGATAGCAAATCCTTTTTAGATTGATATCTTGTAACCACTGTCCATGGGAAGACTCTAGTGGAGAAAATTGGTGTTTGTGAACACCATACAATTGTATAGAGAATGCTCTGGGATTGATTTTACTTGCTCTGGAATAGACGGTGTAATTAGTAATATATTTAGCTGTAAATTCCTTTTTGATCAAGTAGCATTTATAGTGATGGCAGCTCTAGAGAAATAATTATTGTGGTACAGAGTTGGGGTTTTCTTTGGAACGTTTTATGGAAGGATATTGCGGGATAATTCTCGACGAACAGTTCGCGAATTGAAAGGAATTAGGAGCGAAGGAGATGGAAAGACTTCCGCTTATGAAGGATAAAATTCGATCTAATCGGGAAGTGGAGTAAAATTGGCAGGATGAGAGTGGTAGTGTATGACGTATGTATTACGATAATTAAGGTCGTGGTGACGAGCTGTATAGGATGTTTAGATATTTGCATAGGGAAATCCAGGGTAAGGGAAGAGAGAGTAGTAGTTTTAAAAGATTTTTAAACTTCTTTTACGGTTTTTAAAGGTAAAATATATACATTGAACATATATGCACACAACTGAAGTAAAGTATGTAGTTTGCAAGTATCACAGGGAAAGTGTCGTGAGGGGGATAGCAGCGACGAAACGCAAGGCAGGGGAACGGTATTGGAAGAATGGAGGCGTGAGCAGGGTAATGGCAGAAGTCAGTTTGTCAAGGTGGCGTTTATATTGGCTGCGTTCCCGGGGTCAAGGACGACCGTGTTTGAGACAGTGAAGGCGGCGGGCCCGGAGGCTGAGAAAACAACGTTGTTTCTTTGCACCCGCCTCTCCCGCACCTGGGAGCTTGAGCGCTGGTTGCCAAGGGCGACAGAGGCCGAATGAAGTGAGGAGTGGGACTCTCCGAGATTAAAACAGGTCTGGTGTTATTTCTCTTCTCGGGGAGAAGTATCGAGTTGTAAGATGGAAATGAAGGGTCACGATCGTCACCTTAGAGACGTATAAATTGTCAAACGGTTGGATGCTTAAGGGCAGTGATGGTGTGTATTTGGAAGCAAGAAAGAAAAAAAAATATTGCTGTCATTGCCTACTTCACGTTGCTTGTGAAAGCAGCTCTGAGCAGCTTGAATATTCAATTAAGGACATGAAAAATAGTACTACTGTCAACAAATGAATGATAAACGCGGATGCTAGTTATTCATGTGGTGTATTCGTGATATATTCAAAAGAACAATAAAATACAGGAAATCGATGAGAAAAATATATTTTTATTTCTCATACGATGCCAACTATAGAGGCAATAACTGACGCACAAACCGTTTCCAAGTAAAAAAAAAGAAGAAGAAAAAAACAGACACGGACGCATCATCTTTGAAGGCAATCAGGTGCCAAAAAAGCCGATATTGAATCCGCGTGACATCTGTCGCATCCCCGACGACGCAGCAATAAGACTGAAGATAACGGCAGTTGCAAGAGAAGGTGATAACACAGAGGGGCCCACTCAGACAAGGGACAATTCCACTCAGCATCTGAGTAGCCGACGCCGTGCGCCGCCGCGGAGTGTGACGGAGAGTAAGAGAGAGAGAGAGAGAGTAAGAGAGAGAGTAAGAGAGAGAGTAAGAGAGAGAGTAAGAGAGAGAGAGAGAGAGAGAGAGAGAGAGAGAGAGAGAGAGAGAGAGAGAGAGAGAGAGGCAAAGTGAATGTGTATGCGAGAGGCAAAGTGAAAAAAAGAGAGAGTGAGAGACAGAGAGGAAAAGTGAGTGAGAGAGAGAGCAAGCGGACGGTCGGAAAGTTATGGTGAGGACAGAGGCGGCGGCGGTGGCGGCGGCGGCGGTGGCGGCGCGTCCGTCGTCCGCCCTCCCCCCGCTTCCCTGCACGGCGAGCGAGAGGTCGCAAGCGGAATATTCTCCCCGTCAGAAACTCGATTTCTGAGCGAATCGCTCGCGCCGCCGCCGCCGCCGACGTAGACGGCGCGTCGCGCTGCCGCCACGGGGACGGCGAGGGGGCGAGGACGAAGGGGCGACTCGGAAAATTCCGGCGTCCTCGCGCGCGGCGCTCGTCGCAAACAGGCGAAACACTGAGCGGCGCGGGCTGGTTTCCAGTGAAGGACGGACGGGCGGACGTCGCCGCCGACGCCGTCCTCGACGCCCATGCGGACGATGGAAATGCGTTGCCATGCCACCCACCTCTACTGCGCCGCACACTCAGACTTGCATATGGGGATGTTGCATACTCTTGATTTGATAAATGATTAAGTTGACGTTAGTGAACGACATGTCGATGAGAAACGAAATGTCGGCTGTCGATAATAACCAACTTTAAGAACCGGCATTTTCAATTGACTACCGATTGATTTTGGTACAGAAATGAAAATACCAAAATCATTTGAACACTCGTTCGTAAAATGTTACAAAATAAAATTCAAACAGCCAGACAGAATGTTTCAATTTACTTTATTACTTTGCCTGAACTATTTATTGTAGGGGAAAAAATTGGAATGGAACCAAAAATTCAAGATTCAAGACAATTGAAGTAGATTTTACCACGGTGTGTGTGTGTAACGTCTACGTTGGGCAGATTACAAGATTTTGAGCTTGAAGTTAGTGGACACACAAGAGTGAAGTTTATTGACTCCGTTTCAAATATGTTTAAGGTTGGTACAGGTTGCGTAGAGGTTCTCCCCGCTTTGTACCAAAAACGGTGGCCAAGAATACAAATTGACTATTTACCCTTAAATTCGGGAGTTGGGATAATGATTTAAGACGTTATGCCATTCAATTGATTCCAGTACCCACCATTCATATTTTCTGTTTCATGAGGCTTTCGTGAGAACAATTGTTGCAGAAATAATTACTATATTAAAAAAGTGCCAAACGCGTAAAAATATCAACACACCGTGTGTAAAACATGGCGTGTTTTCTATGTGCGACACAACAATTGTTTTCGTTCAATATAATAGTACACAAAAAATTACGAAGGGTGTGCACAGAATATTTCGCACATAGCATGTTAAAAAATAGTATACTCACCAAGTGTGTGAGGGAATTCACGTATTTGTTTCTTAGTAACGTATTATAATTTTACCTAACCTGCCGTAAAGTTCCCAAGAGGTATCGGACGGGACCTAAGGCAGCTTGGGAGACGCCCAAGACACGGAAAAGGATGTTTCATATAAATTTTTCTCGTTTTCTTTCTATCATCAATGATATAAGACAACAGGACCCCTCATTCTTGAAGAGAAATACATGCATTTTTAGTCATGTTCAGAGACATTCCAGGAGACTTTCCATAAGTGATGTATTTTCGTAATTTAGACTTCTATTTTACAAAGTCTTATATTTAAATAGAGTGCTTTAAGTGTAGTGGAAATTTCAACTTGGTGCGCGATGATATGATGGTCAATTTTCTGCATTTAAAATATTTCTCCTATTGTGTTCTTAGTTAATTTCACATTAATTATCATGAATATCATCGTTGGTGAACTGGAAAGTATGTTCCAATGAAATAGTGTTAACCAAGGTACTCATATATTTGTATGTACTACATTCAACATTCTTGAAAGGAGAGAAAAAAACGTGAACAATAAAATGTGTAAGTTGTGGAATTCTCAAAACTTCCACGAGTTCTACATTATTGACTATGTGATTTGATACACTTTGAAACTTCATTTTCGCTTTTTATTAGTTTGTAATGCCTGCTTAAACCAGTTTAAAAGGGCAATGTAATATGAGAATATCCGTAGATTATAATAGATAATGATAAAATAGTGTATTATTCTATTAGTTTATAATGTTCTTTTTTACTCGAATACGAATAGCTGCATGAGCGACGGAGTGATTGCGGCTATACTCAGGAGTGCAAAAAAGTAACATTATTAACGAATTGCATACGCAATTTTTTTGTATAACATTACAAACTTTTTACAAGGGTAAAATCGTTACTGAATTTGGAAGTAGAATGGTATGTTACGTATATCATGTAGGTCAAGACCGACTTAAATAGGGGTGGCCGTGGTTGGCCGAGGTGTTTATTGTTCGTGATGAAACGGATTTAACGGAGGCAATAATTAAGTAATAATAAGTTGCTAAAGCAAAATTGTAGCTAATACATAGAAAATCAGCTCAAAACTATGAAAAACTATATGATAAATTTGTAATTTGGATGGAACAGAAAAATACGAATGGCGTTCAACTAGTGTAGCAGAACTACACATGGAGGAGTCAGTTTTTTTTCCAATTTTATTTATTTCCATTCGGAAGTACATAGTTCAGTCAGTAGCCA